CCAGATGTGTCTTTCTTTGGGAGGAGAACACATCCCAGCATCCCTCAGCTATCCTGGAGTCCTGAGCGTGCCCCCCCTCCCAGGGGTTATGGGATTCATAGTCCAAGAATCCAGAAACGACTCCTCTAAGTGCTGAAGGAAAGGCCCACCAAACAAGGGGTAGGGTGGACCAGCAGGTGCGCAATATGTGCCTAGCTGCTTGGGAAATCCTGAGGGTGGTAGCTTCAAAAACGCACATCTCCTGCTCTAAGTGTTGTATAGTGGCATTTGGTTGAAAACTTGGATTTTTGATTTAAAAGAAAATATTTTCCGTGATTCCCCACCACCACCACCTGCAGGATTACATGGTGGCAGCTGGATCCTGGGAGATGTGGTCCAAAAGAGAGAGAGAGAGAGAACATGTTGAAGTGCTTGTGCTGTTGTTAAAGAACCGCAGACCAAGACACAAGAAATGACTTAAAAAGGGGCTGGGCTGGAATCCTTTGGTGACATCGCAGGAAATGGGAAAGTTGCAGTGAGCAGGAGGAAAAGAGCGGGAAGGAAAAAGAGTTTCTCAGTGAAAGAGGTTGGGAGGCTGCTTGAGGTGGAGCAGGCCCTTGCTGTTTTGAGGCAGCCCATGGAAGTGGAGCCCCTGGTGAAAAGGAGGGAGAGAAAGAGGAGGATGCAGCAGGTGATTGACACCAACAGGTCTCCTGCTGGTGGTCATCCCGTTCTGGGAGCTCACCTGTGGCTTTTAGACCTTGAAACTGGCCATTCAAGTACTGTCGGTCAAGTTCAGCCCCCAAATGTCCCTTCGCAAATGAGGTTGGCCAATGAAGTCGAATCGCCAGTGTGACCCTTGCCAAGAGGAGGGGGCGAAGGTGCGGCATTGCTAGGCAGCAGTTCCTGTTCTTGCTTAACTGTTGAGCATGCTCATTAGGGTTGATGGGAGCTATAGTCCACCAACATCTGGCGAGCCAAACATCCTTCTCCATTAGTCTAAATAGCCATAGGCATCGGCAGCCTTCGATATCCTTGACAGGTGGGGTTGGGGCGCATGTGGCCCTCTGTTGTTGTTGAGCTGCAGCTCCCACCAGCATCGCCAGGAAGTGGCTGAGACATCAAAAGTAGAGGCAGAGCCACAAAGTGCTCTGGAAAAACAAAGAGGGCTTTTGGAAATCCCAGTTGAATTTCAATGTGTTGTCAGTGGCGAGAGGTGCTGGTGTTTTCTGTTACTGAGTACCTCTTGTGCAAAATAACACTTAAAGCAGAAAGAAAAATATTTACCCCAAAAAAGATGGCATGCCAAAATGTATTGGGCAACTGTATTTTTCCGCTCTTCATGTTTCACATGTAATTTTTCAGCTTCCATTGTGTTGCTTGCTCTTTTTTCCTTTCTTCTTCTTCTTCTTCTTTCTTCTTCTTCTTTTCTTGCACCAGAAGAGGCATACAGAAAAGCTCACAGTACGACTTTTGTTGAAAAAGTTTTTTAAAAAAACAACCCTTACTGATAAAACAATTTTTTTCCTGGGGCATGTAAGAGCCAAGACAAATAGCAGCAGTTAAACACAAATTCATTAGCGGTTACCATCTTGTGCTTCAAAAGTAGCGAACGAGGCAGATCTCCCTGGAATGGATTGTGTGTGTATGTGTGTGTGTGCGCGCGCGCTGCGGTCAAAATGGCATAGGCCCTTCCCACTCCTGATGAGAGGAAAGCCCAGAACAGGACTTCTGTAGGCGATATTAGATTGCCACCAAGAATCTTGTGGCACCTTAAGGAATGAACATTTGTTGTGCAGATTTAATTAAGAACTATCGTCTGTAAAAGATTATGCAGTGTAATATAAAAGGTGTTTTTCCTTAACATGCTTTGAGACACCTTCCAGGTTATAATACAGTATTTAACAAAATAACCAGTGTTTAGAATTATTTATTTCAAATTATTATATCTTGATCTGTGCCTTCTGCTTGATAGACTGAGCATAAAAACCCAGGAAGAAGTCATCAAAAGTTGCCAGTGCGAATGGCTGCATAAAATCTATTTTGGAACCTCACCTGTGAAGATGTTTCCAGATTTTGGTGGTGGACGAAAATCCAAACCTAAGCTTTCAAACCTGGTAGCGCTTACTTGGATTTAAAACAACCGTATTACAGAGATAGCGAACACAAGGCAGCCCATTGTGGTTGGCTTCCAACTTCACACTCCACAAAACAATGGCCATACTGTGTCTCTAGTCCAAGAAGGGCAAACAAATGGAACACGTGCACATTCCCTCTGACATTTGCTTGGGCCACTCAGGATAGGTCTTGGAGAAGGACATCTTTGCCCCTGTTTTTCCGAAAGAGCAACAATGGTTGTGTGCTCCCAAAGCAGTGATGATTTGCTTTACTTATTCCATGCTTTCATGGTCTCCTTAATATACCCCCTTTTATCTTCTGTTTTGCATTGAGAATGCCTGGTTCTAAAAAGCACCGTAAATACCTTAAATAGATGCATGAAGGCCATTGTTTCTTAAGAAAAGAATCTAATGCCCTGGTTGGACTCCAGCAATTATTTAATGATGCCTTTTCTGAGCTTGTCTTGTTTTTTTTTTTTAAACTGGTTAAGTATGAAATGGTTCTCAAGGGACTCCTACTTCTTTGAACTTACGAAAAGAAGGAAATGTGAGATAAAGTCACAATTGCTTGTGACTAAGCCGCAGAAACCATACAGGTTCTCCTCTGCTTTTGTTTAGTAACTAATGTGTGCTAAATATCCTGTCTATCTAGGCAGTTGATACAGTATTTGCAAACATTTAGAACTTAGGGGCTACATAGTAGCTTGCTGTTCCATACCTTTTAGTGCCAGATCTGTTCTGCTGAGTAGGTTCCATGGTCTGATATCAACTAGGCCAGTGGTTCTTAACCTTTGTTACTCGGATGTTTTTGAACTGCAACTCCCAGAAACCCCAGCCAGCACAGTTGATGGTGAAGGCTTCTGAGAGTTGCAGTCCAAAACTCCTGAGTAACCCAAGGATAAGAACCAGTGAACTAGGCTTTTACCTTGATTGCCAGAACTAGGTAGAGTTCTTGTTGAGCTTTCCTAGGGTGATGTGTTATGAATTGGGAGGGGGGGACTTTTCTGCTGTCCCTCAATTCATCTGTTTTTCAGTCCTCCACTTTGTCCACTGCATTAACTGAAGATGATCTGTTTTTGTGTTGTATTGTTTGAAGCAGCCACTGTGTTTCCTCTGAGTTGATTTTTCTGCTTCTGAAAAGGGATATTGACTGAGGTGAAATAAAGCATGCCACCTTAAGGGAAGGTTTCTTCACTCTTGCCTTCCTCTCTGTGATTCTGACAAGTGTTGTACTTATCTTTTCTTCTTAAACAGTTTTGTGCTTTCTGGGAACCTACATGGGGGCTCTGTGGTTGCCAGCTATCCATTTGATGATTCTCCTACACACAAGATCTCAGGCGTGTACAGCAAATCGGCAGATGATGAGGTTTTTAAGTATTTGGCAAAAGCTTATGCCTCCAACCACCCAGTCATGAAAACGGGCACCCCAAACTGTCCTGGGGAGGAGGAAGAAACCTTCAAAGATGGCATCACCAATGGCGCACATTGGTACGACGTGCAAGGTAAGATGGCAAATTGGAATTAAGAAGGCTCTTGCAAAAGAGGAGCATCTTAAAAATGTTTTCTGGCAATGCTTGTCACATCAGGAGTGCTGCAGCAGAGACTCAAGGTGATGACACCGTCCTGTGCTTGGTGCTGGTTCCTCTTGTTTGTGTTTTGCAACAAAACAATATGTAGAGAAATCAGCAGCCTTAACTGGCGTGTCCAACACATCTGTTCAATATAAGCAAACATTTAAAGTTTGCCTTGGCACATTGCAGCCTGCATTGTCTTTGGTCATTTCACCTTGTATCCGTCCCTTCAGATTCACAACACCGGGGAGGAATGCTTTTGTGTTCCATTCCTCTGTGGTTTAATATTCTCAGAGGCAAGATGCAGCTCAGTGGCTTGATCTTTCTATTCTCTCGGGTGTGGAGCGTGTCTGTGTTGGACATGTGGCCTTTGAACTGATTTTGATGCCCACACAGTGTGCGTGCCTCACCGAACTCTGTGTTTATCTGGCAGTCCCCTGTCAAATCCTTCAAAGTATATTGAGCTGGGGGGGGGGGA